CGGTGCTGCCGCCGCCTCATCATGCGCGCCCCCAGGAACAATCTCACGTCCCTGTGGGAGCTGGGCACATTGAGGGCCGGCCCGCATAGCCTGGACAGCGGTTGCAGGGAGTTCAGCGTCCCGCGGCGCTCTGGGGTGGGGCTCTGCTGCGGGGGCAGGCGGGGGTGGGGAGGCAGCGGGGCTGGGCTGAGTGCCGGTAGGCTGGGAGCCTGCTGCCGCCAATGCCGCCAGCCCCGGGGCTGCCATGGCGGCCGCCGCGGCAGCGCCCTGGGAGGGCGCCGCCTGCGGTGCTGCCGGCCGCCTCATCATGCGCGCCCCCAGGAACAATCTCACGTCCCTGTGGGAGCTGGGCACATTGAGGGCCGGCCCGCATAGCCTGGACAACGGTTGCAGGGAGTTCAGCGTCCCGCGGCGCTTGGTCTGGGGCGGTCTGGGGGCAGAGGAGCGCAAGGAAATGCTCAAGTGCAGCATCAGGGTTCAGCAGCAGCCAGGCTGGCAGGGCATCCGCCCGGGGTCGAAAGACCGCCCGGGGTGTGCTGCCTTCAGTCGCTGCTGATGCTGATGCCGTCCACCATCGCATGATGGGCTGCTGGTGCGGACACCTGGCTTCGGAATTGGTTTCTCGCATAATAAACATCAGCCATTCTTTGTATTTTTTGCTCTTGTTTCTGCACCCTTGCCAGCGCTGCGGCCTCTGATGCTGCCGTGGCGATTTGCCGTATCTTGATATTCCTCCTTCTCGTATAATTGCACTGTTTAGTGCAGTCAGTTTTGCACTGCTAATAACCTCCCTGGGTTCATCATTTGGATGCATGCATGCTTGAGTAAGGGTCATCGGTGACCCCTGCATGCGCAACTACTATAACAACTGCCCTCCCTCCCACTTGCGCCTGACGCACCCCTTTGCAAGCCAGATGTGATACTGTGCCTGCCCTGCAGCTGCCTAGCTAGACATTGAGTGCCGCACCTGCTGGCAAAGGCGCTGTGCCGCCTTTCAGCACCACTGCTGGCATCATGCGCTCGGCGCATGCGCAGATCCTGGAGCGCTGCCCGTTGGGGAAGGGGGAGGGGAGGCCAAGGCAATCATGGCCAAGGCAATCATGGGGCAACACATGCAATGGGGGTCATCGCTTTGGAGGCTGGCAGTCCGGCAGTGCGGTGGGTGTGGCAAGAGTGCAGCGGCTGTCTGTGTTGCGCAAGGCATTACAAGATGACTGTCGGGTGACAACCGTGAGTCTGCTAGATGTTCCCACTTATGGGGCGGAATCGGACGGGTGAATTCTGTGGTGCAAAAAGGCGGCGCGGGTCCAGAAGGTTCCGGCCGGCCTGTTTTGTCTTTGTGTGAGAGCGGGGAGCCTCGTGAGAGCGCTGGGGTGACTGCCGAGCGCTGGTCGCAGCGGCAGGATCCTTCTCCTTCGGGCGGGGCTGGGGCGGCGGGCGCCTGTTATTACGCAGCCACGGGACTCGGCGGCACGGCGTTTGGGCCCAAGCTTGCTGCCGCCGCCGCCGTGCCCGGGGGGCAGCGCGGCGGCGGCGGGGGCACGCTGCGACGCCCCCGTGCTGCCGAGTTGCGGCCGTAGTTTCCTGCCAGAAGCCCACGGCCACAGCCACGGGACTCGGCGGCACGGCGTTTCGGTCCACGGCTTGCTGCCGCCGCCGTCGCAGGGGTGCTGCCTGCGGCGGCGGCTGCACGGCGTTTGGGTCCACGGCTTGCTGCCGCTGCCGCCGCCGCAGGCAGCACCCCTGCGGCGGCGGCGGTAAGCGCACGTGGTAAACCCCCCGCGTTTCCTTGCCTCCCATCCACCGGACCCCGTCCTGCGCTTCACTTTGTTTAGGGAGGGGCTGCTCACTGCTCATTGCTCATTGCTCATCGCACACTGCTCAACGCTCATTGCCCTATATCCCACCCAGCCGCAGGACTCCACTGCCGCCCGCGCCCCGCCCCATCTGGCCGCTTGCGCGCCCCATCCCCCCTCGATGGGGCCCGCCCACACCGGGGCCTCCCCCCTCCCGCCCACTGCTTTCTCAACGGCCCCGAGCCGGGGCTGCCCTCATTGCATACATAGTGCGCCTTTCCCTGCTTTTCTAGTGACCTAGCGTTCCGCACTGCCGTTTGGCCAGCCCATGCTCCCGTACCGTTGCGTTTCTCCCCAATGCGCCATGCCACTTTGCCAGTCATACACACGTTTCGATGCGTGCCCTGTCAGCTGCTTGCGTTGCATGTCGCCTTGCTCCACCCCTGTTTTATTGCTTTCTCTGCTTTCGCCCGGTTCCCGTCCCGTTTCGGCGGGGAGTCTATGTTGCAAGCTAGTTCTTGCTTTACCAGACTTTAAGCCCACACAAGCAAGCAAGCCGCCAGGCCTCGGCCGCACACGGTGCATACACGGAGGGACGCTCGGCCCCCTGCAGCCCGCTTCCTCATTCCGCGCTGGGGCGGCCCGCTTATATATGAGTGCTCTTTTCTTGGGTGAAGGCGGCGGCGCAAGAGAGCGAGAAGGAGGGGCTGTCAGCGGTGTGGTGAAGGCGGACTGCCCGCTCAGAACGAAAATGAGGCCGGCCGGCGACAGAAGACCTCAAATCTTGGTATACCCAGGTGGAATGACACTACTCTGCACACACAGGGGCGTTCAGTAATGGCTCTCGAGAGCCAGTTCCAGCTGTGCAGCTTCAGGCAAGCTCCCCACCCATGCTTGTGCCCATACATGTGTGCCCAATGAAATTGTGGCGTTGGCGAGGGTACACATCCATGGTGAAGCTTCAACGAGGCGCCCTGCAACACCCTGCGTTGCCCCGGCGCTGTCTGCACGGAGGCTTTTGTACGGCAACGCCAGAGGTCATTGCACCAAGCCACCCCACACGTCTTGACCTTACAGCACTTGTGTCCACATGGGATCAAATCTGGCCAGCGCACTTGCTGGGAGGGGCAGGAGGGGCCACAGCCGCATGCGCTTCCGGCATGTGGATGGTGCAAGGCATGAGACACACTGGAAAAATTGCAGGCGGGACACAGGCGCAACTGGCAGGCGGCGGCGGTGGAATGTAAACTTGAAAATAGTAGTCGGGCCAGCACTCGGTTGGGCCGAACCAGCAAGGAATTTGTGGCCAGGGATTCAAAAGGATTTTGAGGGGCACGCAGACGAGCAGCCTGAAAAAACACAGCAGGAGGAAGCAAGAGGCAAGGCAGGAGCAAGCTGCTGGAGGAGCGGACGTGACAAACAAGCACGACAAGGGCAGGGCGGGGGAGCATGCGAAGGCAATGTGGGAAGCAGGCGGCAGGGCAGCCGGGCAGCATGGCCGCCGGACTCGCCCTAGGGAGGCTGCGTGCTCAAGATGCCGTGCAGCAGCACTCCAATGGCCGCCTCAAACATGGCCGTCACCTGCTGCTCCTGAGGGGCAGGCTGCTGCAGCAGCGGCACAGACTGCAGCAGCGCTGGCGGGGCTGGCGAGGCGCGGGGCTGCTGGGGCGGCAACAGAAGCTGCTGCAGCGTTTGCAGGTCGAGCTGCTGCTGCTGCTGCAGCTGCTGCTGCTGGGGGGGCGCCAGCACCTGCTGGAGAGCTTGCAGGCCAAGCTGCTGCTGCTGCTGCTGCTGCTGCTGCAGCTGCTGCTGCTGCTGCTGCTGGCCAAGCTGTGCGGTGGCTTGCAGAAGGGCTGCTGCAAAGGCAGCAACATCTGGCACTTGCTGCTGTGGTGGCGGCACCGCATGCTGCAGGAATGCCGGGGGTGGAGCAGCAGGCCAGCGCTGATGCGCTGGCGCCAGCAAGCCGGCTGTGCTCGGCTGATGGCGCGGCTGCTGCAACAGCAGCTGCTGCAGCCAATCACCTGGCTGCTGCCCTGGCTGCAGCGGGAGCGGTGGTGATGGCACGCTGACAGCGGGCAGGGGCGCACTAGGAGCGGTTGCAAGACGGGATGGCGGCGGTGGCAGCCAAAAGCTGGGCACAGGCGCAAGTGGTGCCGCGGTCGACGCTGCCGGCAGCACGGCGGCGCTGCCAGGGATGCCCACTGGCAGCTGCTGCAGCGGTTCTGGCCGGTGCGGAGGCGCCTCCGCCTCCCCCCCACCCTCGCCGGCCGCCGCCGCCAGCAGGGCGTCCAGCCCGCTCTCCTGCAGCGACTGCAGGGACTGGTGCATGGCAGTGCTGATTGCGCTACCGCCGCTCTCGTTCAAGCACCAGGCCGGGGGCAGCAGCCCGGGGCTCAGCTCGGGCAGCCGGCCAACGGGCAGCGGCATGAGCACCTGGTGGTGCTGCTGCTGCTGCTGCTGAGGTTCATCGCCCAGCCGGCTGCGCTTGGCCGGGGGTAGCAGCCCCGCAGGCTGCCCCTGGGACAGATCCTGAATGTGGCTGTCAGAGGGCCCTGCAGGGGGGCGGGACAGCACGGGAAGGAGGTGTGGGTGGCGGGATGCTGAGGGGCGCTCAGGCGGCAAGGAGCCAGGCCGCAGGCGCTGGCAGCTCCGCGGCAGGGCACCCGCACGCGTGCCCACACCTTTGGACGCCTCGTCGCCCTCCCTGCTGCTGTCCGGCGCGAGCGGCTGCTGCGTGCCGCGCTGCTGGCCGGCACCGCCGCCGGCCGTTGCCGCCGCCGCCTCGGAGATGGCCCGCGCCGCCAGCTCGCGCGCCCTTCGCCGCCGCTCCGCATGCTTGGCCAGCTGCTTGCGGCAGCTGCGCATGGTTGGCGCAAACGCGGCCAGCTCGTGGAACCGGCCGCACTGCGGGGCGGGGGGCGGGGAGGGTGTGGGGCAGGCAGCCGCCACCTCGGGCTCCTGCGGAATTCCGAAGCCAGGGGCAGGCGCCTCCCTCCTCCCTGGCCGGACGGCTCCAGATTCAGTCGGCACCCCACCCCCACCTGCTGGCAGAAGCGCTGCTGGATGCCCTTGACCAGCACCGATTCGCTGGCCATGCACGGCACGCAGATGTGGTACCGCTGCAGGACAGCGGGGGGCCAGGGTGTGGGGAAGACGCGGCGCGGGTGGCGGCCGTCGACACGTATGGCGCCGCGGGCACCGCCCGGCTGGATTGGCTGCTGGCTTCCAGCGGCTCCCGGCGCGGTGCAAGAGCACACGGCGCAGGGCGCCGCTGCACGGGCTGGGGAACGCAGAAGCCAAGCAGAGCACCCCTGCGGCAGGCTGGTGGGACGCTACACACACCACACCTGATGGAACAGCTTGAGGCCGTCCAGCGAGGCACCGCAGATTTGGCAGCCGTGGTGCAGCGCGGGGCGGCCCGGCTTCCGCTTCACCGGCCTGTCTGGGCTGGGCGCTGGCAGGCTGCCGGCAGCATAGGCTGCGCCTGTTGACACACAGGTGAGGAGGCAGCGCAGTTGTCGGCGGCGGCTAAGAGGCAGCTCCGGGGCCGGCGGGGGAGCTGGGCGGGGGCTCCACCACTGGCACCCTGAGGCCCCTTCGCCGCCTTGAGGTACTCAAAGGCGACTGCCGCACCTCCCGGCGGCAGCAAACGGCCCATTCCGGGGCACTGCAGCCCCACTCACCCACTCCAGCTCACCTGCTGGCGCCGCCTCCTGGCCAGCTTGCAGCGCCTCCTCCGGCCCTTCAACAGCGGCGGGGCCGAAGGCCGCCATCTCCCCCACCGGGTGTCGCCGACTCCAAAACCCGCCCTGGCTGTGTTTTATGAGGCCGCTGGTCGTGATAGACGAAGCCGGTGAGTTTTACCGGGCTTTGGGATGAGGTGAAAATGAACCCGAGTTTTGTCACACTCCGAACAGCTCCGTCGAGCTGGGGAGCTCGCATCATCCGCTCGCTCGTCATGTGTCCACTCCCTCAATCCATGCTCTTCTGGCCTTTTGAGCGGGGCAAGATGCTCCTGTGGCAATTATGTCTGGCTGGGATAGCGAGCTGCAATGGCCTCCTGGCAGGCAAACACCCCCGCTGCCGCCGCCGCTCGACTTAGGCGAGCCGGTGCACTCTGCTGCGCCATTCTGTCGTTTTGCACCTGCCACACATTGAGAGTGACTGAACCGTATGCTCAGAGTCCGTACTCCCTGGGCATCACCTGTTGCACCACCACGCAGCGCTCCAGCTAACGGGCGCCCCCTCGATTCGAAACGGTTGGAACTCAGGGCATTCCGTATGCAGCATTGCATTGCGGCCCTGCGACCCTGAGACCTGTAGCCATTTGTCCTCATGAGCTGGATGTTGCTGAAGGGTGGCACCCAAACGCAAGGGGCACATGAGGCTCAAAAATGTGCTGGCCGGCGCTCAGATGCGGTCAACCCGTTCTTTCTCAGTTCTTTCTCTGCTTTCCTTCGGCGGCTGCTGGACCGCAGGAGGCGCTACTAGGGACGCATTCGAAGGCGGACAAGCTGAGGCTCTCAGCTAGCAGCCCATGGGTGGATGCGCAGAGCGGGCCCCCCCGATTCGCCGCTGGCAGCAGTGGCGGCATGCTGGGTCACGCTGTGGCTCTGCTTGATTGAGGCACACATCGGCCCGCCTCCTGCGCGTTCTCCACACCTTGCCTGACACTCCCAGATTGCTCAGGCGACCTGCACACTGCAGGGCAGCAACACGTCCAGCTTGCCCCCGCCCAACATGAACATTGAGGGTTCCGGGGGCAGTGAGCTGAGCGATTCCGATTACTATGGCTCCGAGCTCTCCGCGCCGTCGACTCTGGCCGACCTGCTTTCGCGTTTCACGATCGATTGGCAGCCAGAGTGCACGCTCAAGCTGCGCACCAAGTGAGTCACGGCCAAGCAGCCTGCAAAACACGTGTCGGAGAGCGCCACTGGCTGGCCGCCCGCTCCGCCGCCGCCTGTCGCTCACCCACCGCCCGCCTGCCACCCGCCACGCAGGGCCGGCCCCGTGGTGGTCGGAGCCGACCTCACGCGCATCACTGCAGTCGGGGGCAGCGTCGGGGCGCTTGTGGTGGGTGCCCATGCCCACCCACCCTCAGCCTTGCAACAGCACCCGCCGCCGCTCCCTCCCCACGCGGCCTCCGTGCAATACGGGGCCTGCCCCCCACACGCACCCTCCCGCCGCCGCTCACCGCGCCAAGCCCTCCCTCTGCGCCCTCCCTCCCCGCCTGGCCGCCCGCAGCTCAAGCCGTCCAACGCCGGCCAGGCGTGGCGCCGCCTGCGCGTGGACAACACGGGGGCACTGACGCTGCGCTCCCGCAAGCTGCATTGGTGGCTCTTCACGCTGGACGTCATCGGCCACGCCAACCCGCTGTCCCGCACATTCGACCTCTCCTACAGGTCTGCGCCCGCTGCCCCTGCCGCCCCCTGCGCAACTCCGCCGCGCGGCCTGTGTGCCGCGACACGGCGGCGTGCCGTCTGCAGCCGCGCCGCGACGCTCTGCCACGCCCCGCATGATGCGCCCGCCCGCGGCCTGCCTCCCGCACCTGCCTCCCTCCCCGCCGCGCCCTCCTGCGCGCCGCAGGGTGGCCACCAAGTGGGATGTCACCAGGGGGGAGTACCGCAACAAGAAGCGGTACGAGCTGACGCCCAAGACAGAGGCGCGGGCACACTGGTCCATCTCTTATAGCCTGCCCGCCATAGAGGGGTGAGCGCCCAGGCCCGGCGCCCCTGGTTGGCTGGCTCACAGCTGGTGGTCGCAGAGTGGTCACTGCTGTGCGGGCTCCAGCACCCGGCCGCCCCCTCCCACGCTTGACGCTGCCTGCTGCGCTCCCACCGCCGCCGGCGGCGGCGGCGGCGGCGGCGGCGCTGCTGCTTGCCTGCTGCCGGAGACGGCCGCTCCGCGACCTAAAACCCTAAAAAGAAAACCCTCCCTGCCTGCCCGCCTCCCTCCCCGGCTCGGCAGGTCGATGGGGACGGCAGCGCAGCGTGTGTCCCGCGAGGTGCATGCCGACGTGGGCTACGCCCACCTCAGCATCCCGCGGCTAGAGCTGGTGGTGTGGCCGCGAGGGCGGCCCGAGCAGCCCGCTGACGGCAGAGCGGCGGGCGGCGGCGAGGATGTGGCCGAGTGCGGCTCAGGCACGGCACGGGCCCAGGGCTGCTGCGCAGATGTGGAGGCGGCAGGCTCGCCAGCTGGCGGCGGCGGGGCGCTGGCGCCGCTGGCGCCAGCCGCGCCCTCGGCGGCCCCTGGCGGGCGCTCGGCAGACGGCACGGGGGGAGCAGAGGGCGGCGGCGAGCAGGGCGCTGATGGCCGCGGCAGCGGAGGGCGGTTGCGAGCGGCACTCAACCTGAAGCAGCTGAACAGCCACACGGCCTGCCTGTCCGGCAGGTGGTGGGAGACGTTTGGGCAGCGCTGACGGGTGGCATGTGCTGTGCGGCAGCGGCTCTTGCGCCATCCAGGTGTTCGTTTGTGGGTGTGCGTCGGGCTGCTCACTGATTTCAACAGAGTTGCTGCCTGGGCGGGCTCACCGTACTTTCATTTATCCTCTCCATCCCTCCAAACTCCCTTCCCCATTGATTTGCACTGCCTGATTCCTTTGGTCGCTTTGCACTCAACACCCGTCCATTGAGAGCCTGTGAAGCTTGTTGAGAGGAGACGTGTTTTACCGCAATGTGAGATGATTGAGGCAGGGGGTCGCCACAGCAAAGAGGGAGGCCAGAGGGAGGGAACAGCTTGGCAGGAGGGGGCAGGTCGAATGGGGGCATCACATGAAATAGCAGAATGAAATGGGTGAACGTAGGGGCCGTGCATGTGCCAGCCACGACGGATTCCTCCCGCATCGCAGCCGCCAGGTGCTACGTGTCAAAGCCATCCACGCCCCTGCAGGGGACGAGGCCCTGAGGTGTGAGCAACTCATCCGATGCACGGGCAACTGAACACGGACGTGTGTACTCACCAGTGACTGCCCCGCCGCTGCCACCCACACCACGCACCATCCCCACCGCCACCGCAGCACCAGCACACACACTCACCCACACAGCACAGCACAGCACAGCACAGCACAGCACAGCACCCAGACCCCCCTCCAGCCACCCCCGCACCAGGCCCACACACCATATGTCGTCCTGTGGCACCTCCTTCACCTCCAGCCGCTGGTAGCCCGGCGGCACGCCCGCGATGCACGCCCGCACCACACCCACCGACGGCTCCCCGCCGCCGCCGCTGTACTTGTACACTTCCACCTGCGGGAGGGCGCAGTAGGGGAGGCGGTGTGGCAGGTGGGTGTTCGAACAACAAAAGCTTGTGCTGCAGCCTTGTGCTTGCTGGAACCATACTGCAAGCCCACACCAAGCAAGCAGGCAGGCAGGAGGAGTTGGCGGATACATCAAGCGGGTCCCTTGTCTCTGTGCCACGCACGCAAGGGTCTGCATATGCAGTGCTGCCAGGTATCAACTGCGGGGCGTCGCCCATCCCACCCCGCCCCCACCTCGCACACCCCGCACGAGCCCTGGGAGCAGCCGAGCGTGATGTCGGCGCCTGCGTCCTTGGCCACCTGCAGCTCACGACAGCAGGGGAGCCTCGGGTGAGCGGCAGCGGCGCAGCGGCAGCGGCAGTGGCGTCAAACGAAGCACAGGCACACAAGCTGAGCCCAGGCAGCGCCGGTGCTGTCAGCCAGCTTGCCTCCCATATGTTCTGGCCCGGCACCGCGTCGACTGTCACTTCAGTGCCGGCCAGGCAGAAGGTGACGGGCACTGGCGCCCGCTCCGCCGCCGCCGCCGCCGCCGCTGCTGGTCTGCACCGCCGCCGGCCTTGGCCGCTGCATTGGTGCCGTCTAGCACCTCTGCTACTGCCTGACGTCTGCACAGCTGCAGGGGAGAGCTGCTTACAACAAGCGAGCGACATGTGGGCGCGTGTAACTAGAACGTTGATCAGAGGGGCGAAATTGCCGTTCAGCTATGCCAAATGCTGAAGTAATGTGGGGAAGCGCCAGGCGAGGCTGCCAGCCGCCCAGGACCGGATTGGAAACCTCCGCGAGGAAAGACGGGCTCAGACGTGCGATTGAGGGCCTTCACGCTCCTGATCGGGCCGCGGTTGCATTGTGATCTGCCAAAATTGCATTCTGCAGCGGGCCTGGCGCAGTTTGACAAGCCCCCAGTGAGGCAATCGGAGCGGTGTGCAGGAGACGCACCACAGGACCTGCAGCACGCACATCTGAGTCGAGGTGAGCCATCATCGGCGCTCTGGCTGCCGCGGAGTGCTGTGCCACTGAATGCTGCGGTGATTGCCTCGCCGGCCCTGCCATCCCGCTGATCAGGGCCTGGGTGTGCACCCCGCGGATGCTGCCGCCGCAGGGAGGGGAAGCGCAGACCACCATGCCGGCCTCGCGGTCTTCGGGCTCCTCCTCAGCCAGCGGCAGCTCAAGCTCCAGCGGCTCCTCCAGCTCCTCGGGCACGAGCTCCAGCAGCGGCACCTCCCGCTCCAGCGGCTCCCGCTCGCCCTCGCGCGGCCGCTCGCCCTCGCGGCGCGCCGCCGCCGCCGCCCCGCCCCGCCGCTCCAGCGGCGAAGGGCCCGCCGACAAGCCGCGCCCCATGGACACCGATGCCGCGGAGAAGAAGGCGGCGGCGCCGGCGGCGCCCGCGGGCCCTGCCGGGGGCGACACCAACACCCGCCTACACGTCGGCCACCTCACCCGCAATGTCAGCGAGGCGCACATGCGCGAGATCTTCGGCACCTTTGGCAAGCTGCGTGGCGTGGAGCTGGCGATCGACAAGGTCGTCAACCTGCCCAGGTGCGGCGTCGCGCCACGAGCAGCTGGCAGCAGGAGGGCTGGCGGGAGCGGCTGGCGGCAGGAGGGCCGTGGCGGGGCGGACACGCACGGGCAGCGGCAGCAGGAGGCAGGCAGGGGTGTTCCGTTTTTTTCCTGAAGAACGAGATGGGAGCTGCAGGATGCGTGCAAGATGTCGCTGACTGCTGGCCAGCGCAAGATGGCCCGCCGCTCCCCAATAATTTTATCCACGTCAACACCAGCAACGCTGCACACGCTCTCCCCTTACGCGCGCTGCCCCTCCCTGCCTGGCCCTGCCCGTGGGCTGCAGGGGCTTTGCGTATGTGGAGTACGAGAGCCGGGAAGCTGCGGAGAAGGCGCGGGACCACCTGGACGGTGGCCAGATTGATGGCAATACCGTGACCGTGCAATTTGTGCTGGTGCCCAAGCGGCGCGAGCCCAGCCCGCCGCCGCGCGCCCGCGACGACCGCGGCCGCTCGCCGCCGCCGCGCCGCGCGCCCTCCCCGCGCCGCCGCAGCCCGCCCAGGCGCTCGCCGCCGCCGCGCCGCAGGTGCGGGCCGCTGGGGAGGCATGGCGCGGGTGGGCATGGCATACAGGCTGGTGGTGTGTGTGTCGTCGTTTGGCTGGGGATGATCAAGTGCTGTGTGGTGTGGCAGCCAGGCTGAGATAGACTTTTTCCTCCCCCCTTCCACCCCCACCCACACCACCGCCGTGCTGCC